ACAGATACTACTTTCCCAGCTAACAGATACTACTTTCCCAGCTAACAGATACTACTTTCCCAGCTAACAGATACTACTTTCCCAGCTAACAGATACTACTTTCCCAGCTAACAGATACTACTTTCCCAGCTAACAGATACTACTTTCCCAGCTAACAGATACTACTTTCCCAGCTAACAGATACTACTTTCCCAGCTAACAGATACTACTTTCCCAGCTAAGTGCTATTTCTTATTTTTATTCTTATACCCGGTACGGATTTTTTCGATTGTTTTGTTCGCCGACGAAGGCTTTCTGCCGACACGTTCGCTGTTTTGTTGCGTTTATTTTTTTCAGGTTTAACCCTACTCTATTTTACTCATTGTATATTGTACTAACCTGATTGCAGTCTCTCCCCTTCTTACCACATTATACACACCACGTTTAATCCAAAGAAACAGTTTTGAACACGCAAAAAATGTGAGCGTTGTACTGTAAAAAATACAACGTCCAATGCTATGTTGAAATTTTAATTATCATTCTCGAATGTCATCATGCTCCTGCTATATGTGTTTTTTTTTGTATTGTTGACCGATTATATGGCATTTTTTTTAATTGTATACATAAGAAACTCTGTTTTCTGTAAACTTTTATTGTGTCTATGTATAGTATTGAGTATTATATATATAACTTTTCTGAATTTGACATACGTTCCATATCTCAGCCACAACAATCATGTCTGTACTTCCCAGCATTGGTTTCTGTATGCTGACGGCCTGTGGTCACCAAATGTTGTGTCAGAAATTTCCTAAGCTACGGACCGTACTTGGCGTCTTGTATCTGGCTCTTTTGGTTGTCATGGCGACGCGCACCTGGCACAGAAACGAAGTCTGGGGAACCAGAGAAACTCTCTTCAGGTCAGTGATGGTATTTTCATGGGTCCGTTGTTACCTTTGATCTGTCCAGTATGCAGTTATTGGATGGGACTCTTTCCTTTCTGGACGGACACATCCCCTGCGTGGCAACAAGAAATAATTTCATTATTTTCATTCAGCTAACGGTTTATAATCAATATCCATTACTAGTATGGGGCAAGATTTGATGTTATAAAATTTAATATATGAAAGAAAACCGAAGCCAATGTGAAGATTGTTCCCGAGGAAGAGTTTTTCCCGAGGTGTAGCTTGTTTCTCTGAGGTGGAGCTTGTTCCCCTGAGATGGAGCTTGTTCCTCCGAGGTGTACCTTGTTTCCTCGAGATGGAGCTCCCCCCCCCCGTGTAGCATCTTCTTCCTCCGAGGTTTAGCTTATTCCTCCGAGGTGGAGCTTGTCCTCCGAGACGTAGCTTATGCCCCTGCGGTAGAGCTTGTTACCCTCTGCTTAAAACATCGCACCTCCTTTACTTACAAACCTACTAACGTTGCATCTATAATCCCCCACCCCCTCCTTTTTTTTTTCGTCTTCAAATTTTGAAACTTGCTGATCCGTAGCATGGTCAATAGGAAATAGACGCCTCAGACACGGGAGATTATAGTGTCAGCAAACAGGGGAGGTAGACAGCAATGTCTGGTTTGCCAGGTGTGGGTTACATTTAAAGTGTGTGGTTAAATTACTCCCCTTGAAATCTGAAGGGGAGGTAGCTCGGGTTCAAATTGACAAGGGCCTTGGCGAGTCGAACTGTCAACAATGGTTGATAAGCTTGCGTCCTCCCCCCCCCCAACCACACGACGCCCACCACATCGCACGCCCACATGGCACCCCTACACACTGTAGCCTAACATACGACATTTTAACACACTGAGTTCTGACACATGGCATCCCAACGAGGGTTACCCAAAGTAAGTAAATTCAAAGGGAAAGCCCGTATAACATTTGAGATTAAATGCTTCATACGTCTTTACGAACTTGGGGATGTCCCTCGAAAATGAGACGTTGTACTTAATGCTTCTGAAGCGAAACAAAGCTGGAATTTAAAAAAAAAAAATCCTTTATTGTATGAACATTGAGCAGGAGAACTTCTGTGCACTGAAGATCATAGCTACACATGGGATTGTGCATCATAATATTTTGTTTAAATGAGTTGGCAACCCTGACCCCAATACACAGTACCCAACGAACAGTACCCAATGAACAGTACCCAATGAACAGTACCCAACGAACAGTACCCAACGAACAGTACCCAACGAACAGTACCCAAAGAACAGTACCACACATTCGACACACCTAACACATCCACATGACACAGCCACGTATGTATTTAGCTTAATATTTTGACAAAACAAGAAAAATAACCAAAGATAAGACATACTACGGCTTTGAAGACTAGTATTTGACAGCATGTAGACAGTGTGTCTGGTACTTGACAACATTTAGACAGTGTGTCTGGTATTTGATAACATTTAGACTGTGTGTCTTGTATTGGAAAACGTTTAGACAGTGTGTCTGGTTTATGACCTAGTTTTGAAAGATGAAACCATTAAGTCACTTGAACTATTTGCCTTTATCGTGATCAAGAAACCCATGTATCCGAAAACCATTGGTATGCGTATCGGAAATTTTTTTTTTTTTAATAAGACCAAGTTTTCTCTCACATTTATCTGTCTGTTAAATGTGCATCTAAATCTAATACATTGCAGTAACAAGAAGCGTCTTGAAATAAAGAATTCGATTTTAAAACATTGAAGCCATCATTTTTAAAAAAAATTTTGTTGTTCCTATGCGTGCTACGTTATTATTTCTTTAAACAATAAGTGTCCTCAGATTTTGATAATTTAATTATTTTTAAAATTAAAAAGGCAACAAACAGCATCGCCAATCAAAACCTTTGCATTTGCAGTCTCCACTGTCATTGGAAGCTTGATGCCTAGATTTTAACTTTGTTCAGTAGAATGACTGGCCTCGAAAGACTTCTTATTGTAAACAACGTCTGATGGTAACTGGTTGCAGTGCCTGATAATGGTAGGCACCAGTGTTCACTTTAAGCTGCGCGGTCGCGCAGCTATCTCACAGACGCCGCGCAGCAGTTTTGAGTATCCGCGCAGCAAATTTCCACGTAAGTGTGTGTGAGTATGTGGGCTGTAAAAGTTTGCACACAAAAAAAAAAATTAAAAAAAATTGATGCTGTAAAACGTTGCAGACGACTGTATGATTTTGCACACGAACCAGCAAACCTTAGAGGGAACATTGGTAGGCACCAGAACCGGATTCGGCCAACATAGGCTATGGCCCAAGGCGCTGAAGTCAGGGTTGGGGAGGGGTGTTTATAAAGAAGAAATAACAATCATTTTTGTTGTTAAAAGTCTGTTTTTTCTGGGTAAGGTCATATAAATATTATTTTTTTTTTAAAAATAACACCCATATATAGTACTAAATTAACCCATACATTGCCAAGGTCTACAGCTTGGGCTGTCGTGCTCAGTCACTGGCAAAGTCATTTGCTATTTCTCTCTCACACACGTAAACCACGTGTTAAAGGAAAATTCCAGATTTGGCATTAAAATAGGGATTAAAGGTCATTCATGACGCTCTTAACACTTGACCTGCACACATTTACTGATAGTAGGGACGTAAAACATTCCGTTACTACTTTTACATACCGTTTAGTTTACTCAGCGCCATAAGCATGAAAGACGTAGGCAGAAAACGTTGGTGTTCGTCAAATTATTTAATCAGATTTAACCAGATCTCTTGACTTAAAATTAAACAGTTTTCTTGGACAAAGGTGTTAAGGAAGAAAATCTAGTTAGTGTTGATGATGACTTGAAGAAATTTGATGCAATGTTATTCCTGTAAATGTTGACATTATGTGCAGTTTCATAAGTATTTTAGTAGTGTAGATTTGAATTTAAAAACATAATTGCTTCAAATATTTGAACTGCTGTATTAAGTGTTTATGTGGGTTTTTTTAAAAAGAAGTATTACGTATTTACGTATTAAATTGAAAATTGTAAATCAACGTTTTGAGTGGAAGCGGGGGGGGGGGGCGCAAAATAGCGATTGGGCGTAGACTTGTGTCAATGTGGCCCTGACTTGTGTCAAGTTTTTGAAGAGGCTTTGGTGCATACGTACGGGCCTCACCATGTTAAAACTCACCGATGCTATTTACAAAATATTGTTTTAAATTTATCTGTTTTAAACCAATTAAAAAACACAATGCTAAACTTGAATGTCGAGAAGTGTAGTTTCGAGAACGGTAAACAGAAACATACGAAACTTTGGTGTCATGGAATAACGGTTTGTTTCACAGCATAAGAAGATATTCGTGATTAGATTTGTTTTTGTTAAGTTTAAAATGTTTGTTAAGTGATCAGTTAATATTTATACTATAGTTACGCGAGAGAACCCGCCTTTAAAATAACAAGACAACTGGGTCCACTCAATGGCGAAGCAAGGGTTAGTAGTGCCCTAGGAGGGCCAAACATTTTGCCCCCCCCCCCCCCCCACCCTGCTATGAAAATACTGCAATGTCCCGAAAATGCAATCCCTCAATATATAGGGGGAAAAGGCCCGCCTGGGGCGGACCGCCATTACACTCCCCTTCCTACGCCAGTGGGTCTCACCATGACAAGAGTAGAGAGCCCTCAGTGGGTGTCAGCATGAGACGAGTTGAGAGCCCCCACTTGGTTTACAACAAGACGAGAGTTGAGAACCCCCATTTGGTCTACAACTCTCAACGAGAGTTGAGCTTGGTCTACAACATGACGAGAGTTGAGAACCCCCCAGATTCAAGTATGTTCCCAGGCCTGGATTTTTCTTTGAATGACCCGGGGATTCACAAGATATTTTGGAAGTAATTGCTCCAGAAACCAGACGCATATCATAGCGCTTGAAATTACTTGAATGAGAAACAAGTTCAACAATAAGAAGCCCCCGCTCAACCCACATAGTTCACAACCAGACCGTGGCCACCAGATCAAGAAAGTCAAGGTATTGGGTCACTTTACCAGTTGCACCTACTCATGTAATCACCTGAGTTACATAGAGAAAACAACTGCCCAGTCTTCTTGTGTCCAGACAGCACGATTGAAATGCTTTAATAAAGCACACAAAAAACTAAGTAAACTCAGCTGTGAATGCCAGACTTGAGGCACAGTGCAGTTCGTTGTTTCAACTATTTCGTGATGTTTTTAAATTTGTTTTGTTTTTTTGTTTGTTTGTTAATCTTAAGAAAAAAATCTAAATATTTTTTTCCTGCTTACATAACAAACATTTAAAAACAAAATCGCTTTCATATTCCACGATCCTTTATTGGATAATGCAGCAGCAAAAACTTAGTTTTTAAAATAAAATAAGACATGACATCCTACAAAACTCCATATGACGTCACAGTTCTTACCGAACCTCACTGTAACACAACAAAACGCCAATGAACCCGTACTGGCAACTCGGTGACAGATCCCCCCCCCCCACACACACACATAATATAGAAAACCTTAAACAAAAATATTTTAATATAAAAGAAAAAAGCTTCTTTAGATTATGATGTCAATAAAGGGCCACACGCATCACCTTGAAAGAAACTATTTGGAACATGAGAGGTCACATAACTTGAACTCCAAAACAAAAAAACAAACTTGGGAAATATCCCGGATTAAAGACTACTACCTTTGAGCAAGCTTTGTGAAGCACAAAATAGGACTAAGCTGAGTTGTATTAGCTCTAGGGGACATTTGCACAGTCACGTCCCCGTGCTTCTGGTCAACGCCGGCACACGGCGCCGTGGCCATAGGGGCTCCTGGGCCCCAAGTAACTATTTAAATTTCCCTTAGTTTATTATAGTGAAGTGTGAAGTGCCGTAGAAAAACTAAACAGTCTAAATTAAGGTGCATGTTAAAATGCGTATGGTTAGCTACATGTATAGCATCGTAGCACGTGCTCCATAGTCTACGTCGTAATCGGGAAAAGAGTGGAGCCATACAAGGACAGGGAGTGGGGGGGGGGGCGCCGAACGGGTGCTTCGCACAGGGCGAAAGTTTACTAAAGGCTGGGGTTGTTCAGGGGACAAATCATATCACTTCACTTTTTGTGTAATTTCCCTCTGTTGATAAGATCCACCCCATTTACTCTAAATTTTTATTCTCTCGCCCCCACCCCCTTTATAAACGTTAAGTAAAGTCTACAACTTAATATGATTTCCTTTCTTATAAACATTTTATTTTTTATTGGGACTTATTCAACCACCAATCTTACATACCACCACCCTACATCCCCACCACCCTTACATACCAACCACCCTTACATACCACCACCCTTACACACCACCAATCTTACATACCACCACCCTACATCCCCACCACCCTTACATACCAACCACCCTTACATACCACCACCCTTACACACCACCAATCTTACATACCACCATCCTTACATACCACCACCCTTACATACCACCACCCTTACATACCACCACCCTTACATCCATCAATCTTACATACGACCACCCTTACATCCACCAATCTTACATACCAACACCCTTACATACCAACACCCTTACATACCACAACCCTTACATACCACCACCCTTACATCTCCACCATGCTTACATCCCCACCACCTTTACACCCCTACCACCCTTACATACCACCACCCTTACATACCACCACCCTTACATCCATCAATCTTACATACGACCACCCTTCCATCCACCAATCTTACATACCAACACCCTTACATACCACCACCCTTACATACCACAACCCTTACATACCACCACCCTTACATCTCCACCATGCTTACATCCCCACCACCTTTACACCCCTACCACCCTTACATACCACCACCCTTACATACCACCACCCTTACATACCACCACCCTTAGATCCCCACCATGCTTACACCCCTACCACCCTTACATACCACCACCCTTACATCCCCACCATGCTTACACCCCCACCACCTTTACACCCCCACCACCTTTACACCTCCACCACCCTTACACCCCACCACCCTTACATACCACCACCCTTACATACCACCACCCTTACACCCCCACCGCCCTTACAACCACACAAGGCAACCGAGGACACGTTAGTTTAGTCTCAGGGGTAGTCTGAAATCAGACACTGATGTATCACCCCAAACGCTACCTCTCCTCGCCCACCCCCAAACCCTAGGCGACCTCAGCTTAAAGTTAACTCGGTCATTCGAATGCTTTGAATTCGGCCCACAAAAATGGAAGGTACGCTTTATATTTGCATGTGTATACACCTCCTCCAGTCTCGTATCAATTTTAAAAAAAAAATATCCATTCAAAACTTGCGTCATTTGTCAAAGGCGACACAACGCTTGTATATGTGGGCGTATGTGGACAAGTGTAAACCTTTTGTCAGTAGGTGCCAATATGCACCAGGCATACACAGGCTACTTGGGGAAATGTTGAAAGTGTTTCACTGGAAAAAAAAAAGAGGGACATGTTTGGTTATATTTTTTAGCATTAACGATATCAAGCTAACCTAATTATATTAAAACCTCAAATAGGACCTACTTATATTATGCTAACCTCAAGTAGGACCTAATTGTATCAAGCTAACCTCAAGTAGGACCTAATTGTCCTAATTATATTAGCCGAACTTCCCTCTCCTACGAATGTCCTCTGACGCTATCGGCCACATCGATCCCCGTATCAGATATTAAAGGTCAAACCATTTTACTCAAATGACAGTAGACTAATATAACATAAGTAAATGTCACATTGTCTCTTTCTTAACTTTTAAAGGCGCCAATTCCTTAATGGTTAAATTACCAAAACTTTAACCCAATCTAAGATCCCCACCGCTGCACTTTTTAAGTAAAAATTCAATTGCCAGGGACGCAAACACGAGCGAAATTTTAAGAATGTAAACTAATTCAAATTTAAAAAAACATAAAAAAACACGAAATAAAGTTATAGATGTCTAATTCTACTAGACACCCAGAGTTGAGTTCTATCACACCGTTTGTTTTTTGTCTGGTGCAAACCAAAGTCTTTGTGATTTCTCTGAACAGGTCTGGAGTCAAGGAGCTCCCACAAAACGCTAAAGCCCATTACAACATGGCCAACCTGCTGAAAGACAGGGGAGACTTGGAAAGGGCGGAGCATCACTACAGACTGGCCATTAGGTAGGGGAATCTTTTACTTTGACTCTTAGTAACCGGTACTTCATACAGTTTTACTTCACTTCTGGCTGGACATATTTAATTTTTTTTCCCTTCAAAATAAAGCCAAAAAATAAACAACAAAATAATGCTACTCCTTGTACGTAGCTACACTGATTGTACCCTGCCCCATCACTCAATTTGATATGCCAGGGCGGCGCACATAGTATCACCGCCCTGGAGGGGCTGGTGACCCGTTGCACAGCTTCCAAAAAGAGTTGGGGGTGGGTACTTAACCGAACTCCCTGTCTCTCCCCCCTTGCAATCTGGAGGACTATGTATGGATATTAAGACCGCCGATTACATATTCACAATGTTTAATTTTTTCCACAGACTGTATCCACGCCACCCAAGTTACCACCTCAACCTAGGAACTATTTTAACGAACCTGACTGAAGCCAGGCATTGTTACCTGGAGGCCTTAAGACTTTTTCCAAATCATAAGGGAGCCCTGGTCAATTTGGGAAGCCTTATGATGTGAGGACATTTTTTTTTATTAGAGATTAAGACCAGATTAAAAAAAAAAAAAAAAACAAATAAATAGGCCTTAAGACTTTTTCCAAATCATAAGGGAGCCCTGGTCAATTTGGGAAGCCTTATGATGTGAGGACATTTTTTTTTATTAGAGATTAAGACCAGATTAAAAAAAAAAAAAAGCCAAATAAATCAGTTTAAAGGATTACTTTGTATAAGATGTTTATATTTATATTCTTTATTAATATCATCAGTGTGTTGTTTCTTGTTATTAATTGCTTCCTCTGTTTTATCAAAACTTAAAAAAAACAACTAATTCTCATATCATGACTCAAAAATTGATTGATATATAATTATACTATTTGCTACATGAAATATTTTGATAAAGTAATCATTTGAAAGTTATATTGCTTACTGTTGTACATTCTCCATGTCAAAATCCAATAATCTCCCCAGTAAGAGCTTATGAGACATTCATTTTGATGGAAGCATTTTGTGACCTTTTTTCTTTTACTACTTTCAGTGATGAGGGGAATGAAACTGGAATTAACTTTATCCAGCGTGCCCTTGAACTTGATTCCAATTATTTTGAAGGTTTACTGATTATGGGGAAAGCAAAACTGGCAGTTGATGATAACAAATCAGCTGGACACTATATTAAAAAGGCCTTAAGTCTCAGACCTAACAACTTAAATGTACGGCTGTATCATGGTGTTTATCTACAACAAACTGGTTTGTACTTGTTCTTTAATCTTACACTAATGTACATCGTACACAAAACTTATCTTTTTCTTTGTGCCACTAAAACACTTGGGTACTGCTACATAAAGTTTTTGTGCGTTCTCTTTAACAGATCATTCAGGTAGCTCACAGTTACAGTACTATTATTTTTTGCAGAAATTTCCCCACATTCAAAGCAACATCTAGTCTTTAACAAATAATCATAACCAGAATTAACCAAGCAGATTTTAATGATTAAAGATGAGACAATCAGCTTAAGTACCGGTTTAGTAAAAACATGATTCTTTCGACCAATTGTTATAGATTTTAGATGATCATTAAAGTACCATATTTATAATAAAATATGTTTTTATTTTAAAAAATAACCACACTTTAACTAAAATGATTTGATTCTCAAAATAAATATTTTGTGACTTGGTATGACTCACTTGTCTTTGATATGACTCTAATTGCTGTCATCGTGATGCTTCTTTCATTTTTGAGCATAAGATAAGAAAATATTATGCACTAAATCACTAAATGCATTTGCTGTATTTTTAGGAATCACATTTAGTGGGAATGTTATATTATTAAGTGAAAGTGAAAGCGTTAGAGACATTAGTTGATTGTTAAACAGCTCCATAGAGAATTATGTATTTGTTTAAATTATTTCCAACATAAGATTTTAAAAAAATGTTTCTTGAACATAAAATAACTTTACATAAAAAACTTACAAAGTCCACTAAATGCACTCATTACAATAGCCAATGTTGATTTTGTCAAAATACAATCTAATTTTTATATTTTATTAATTCCGGTACCTGTATATTTTCATTTCAGAACAATTTGAACCAGCGCTCCAAGAATATCAATACGTTCTTTCAAAAAGAAAAGATGATATAATCGCAATGAAAAATGCAGCCAAGATTCAAGTATTGTTAGAAAAGCTCCCAGAAGCTATGACCCTACTGAAAGCGTAAGTTACTCTACTCGTAAAATCATACATACTGGCATTAAAGATGAGATTTCTGTAATAAGGATTTGCATAGTCACCCATGGGAACATTATTTTCACAAGAATTTCTGATATGAAACATTGTAAATTTAAATCAACGTCATCAGTATTGGATTTTAATCCACCAACATAGATATTTAGTTGAAATGATGTAAGATGAAAAGAAATATTTTTTTTTAACTATCCAATGACATTAACAGTTTTACTTGGTTAAAAATACCGGTAAGTGGAAATATTTATTTCAAGCATTTGCTTATTTTGTTCAAGGATTTACAAAGTCTTATTTTATTAATAAAGGTTTTATCGAATGGTCACACTAAAATTTAAGATTGTATAAAATTTACATGAAACAAAATATTTGTCAAAATAGTAGCCTACATAATAGTTGTTAAAATCTTTAATTATCTGTACATTTCATGACTCATCTTATTCCCCCAACAAATTATGAATCATCTTATGCCCCCCCCCCCCTGTCTATTTTTAAACAAACATTTATCTTTTAGGATTCCCCCAACATATTATGAATCATCTTATGCCCCCCCCCCCCCTGTCTATTTTTAAACAAACATTTATCTTTTAGGATAACACAGATTGAAAACAACTGTGTTGAAAGTCTTAGCTTGTTGGCACATGTCTACAAGAAAATGGGCCACAGGCATGATGCAGTTATTTCCCTTGCCAAAGCTTCAAATCTTGCTCCCAATAACACCAATATCCAGCTAAAATATGTAAGTCCTCCTGATTGTAATTTAGAATTCCATAAACATTTATTTTTCAGTGTATTATTAATTAACTTACTTGTCATTATTAAAAATATAAGTTGTTGCACTTTATTGTCAGGATACAATTTCGATGCATGAAATGAATGGATTAGTAATAAAATGAAGCAATTCAGGCTCATACCAGCAAGAAGCCAGTATAGGAGCTGCTCATTCCTGCCCAAGACAATCAGGGACTGGAACACTCTTTCAAAAGGAATGGTTGAGGCGACAACACTAGACACATTTGTGTCTATTTCCTCAAGCCTTCAAACCCCTAGTGCATGATTTCCTCATCAACACCAGTAACAGAAACATTGCAAATCCCATCTACATGCATAGGAGCCAAAATGATCAATAAATTGATCGTGGGCCCTTAAGATATAGAAGAAGAGAAGAGAAGATATAAACTTATTTTTTAAAGTTTTACTTCTAATTTATCTTAAGGACCATGATAACATTTTAAAATTAGAAATTAAACTAATGAAAATGTTTTTAGTTTCAATGAAATTTAGGTATCACACTTCATATTATTATCCCATTAACACATTATTCTAATAAAGGTCTATATATTTATAACTATTTTTGTGGAATCTGCTCTGTTTATGTTCATTATCTTCAAGATGGTAAGGCTGATTTTTAAAATAAGAAGTTATTTTCACTCTGCAAATTATAGCAAAATACTTTCTTTTCCTTGTGTCTAATAAAATACATTTTTGTATAAAACATCTGATTTATAAATCAAAATTTCTGTGAAGATCACTTCTGTTTATCGGTAATTTATATAAAAATCTTAAATAATTAACTTTACATTTCCAACATTGATTTCTGGTGTAAAGGTCAGGGCTTTAAAAGACAACAACCAGACTAGTCTGGCCAGAACTTATCTACATCAGCTGACTGAGAAAGTTCCTAATGATCTTCATTTGCTGTGGTTTGCTTTTAACTTTTCCATGGAAGACAAAAGGATTGAAGATGTAATCAAAATCATTTTTACATTTTCTTTAATAAATGATGAAGTTTTATACATTATTTAGTAAAAGTAAGTTCTTTTAATGATCTTAGCCACAAATAATGAACAGTTTTATGACACCTAAGATTTATAATTTTAATTATTTCTATTGTGGATTTTGTCACCGCACTAGGCAGCACAGTTTGTCACTGATGCAATCAGCATTGCTGAGAAAAGAAAAGATGAATCCCTTAAACATCTTTACCTTGGACAAGCTGAAATTTACCAAAATAACAAAGATTATGACAGAGCTTTACAGGTAACAATGTTTACTTATTAAATTAAATGATTCTCTATTAGTTTTAACTATTTATCAATTAATTAACATTGTAAGATTTTAAGAAATAAAAGACAATTGTTCACAATAAATTCCTAAATTTACAAGTGAGAGCAACACAAAAAACATGATTGATTTTTTTCGTCATCAGTTCTACCTCAAGGCCATAGATCATGATTACAATTTTGTAGATGCTTTGGTCAATGCTGGGTCAATTTACTTCATCAAGGTAAAATTTGAACAATATTTATCAATTACTATCCCCATGAAATATTGACGAAATCATCTTTATTGTCAGGATACAATTACGATGCATGAAATGAATGGATTAGTAATAAAATGAAGCAAAAAAGAAACATTTAGAAATAGAAATATATTTAACTGCTTCAGAGATAATGAACCTTTCTTTATGTTAATTGTTATATAATTCATTTTTAATTGCACCAGGTAGTAATTCCTTATTTGTACCTGGTACTGTATTTTACGGACTATACGACACACCTTAATTTTTAATCAATTTTTTAAAAAATAAAATTTTTACCATTTTTATTATTATATTGCAAAGCCAGACTAAAAAAAAATTCTTAGTTTATAAAACCGAAGTTGCCTTTAAAATCCCTGAAAGTCTTCATCTGAACTTTTTTCTTCTTCTTCCTCTCCGTCATCATCGTTGTCCTCTTCATATACATGTATAAGATGGTCTTCACTGCCATTGAGAGCGCTACTTATGCCGCACTTCTTGAAATATTTAACAATAATGTCTTCTCTCTCTCTAGACGACTCTTATCCACTGACGCACTTGTTTTATTGTAGGTCGTTTTAAAGCTCCCATCGGTGTGAATTCATGTTGGGTTTCATCCATCATCCATTTGTTCCATTCCTCTCTCATATACACTTTAAATGGTTGATTTATCGAGACATCAAGAGGTTACCATTGTGCAGTAAGTCCTCAAGGAATAACAGTAAGCTCTGTATTTCCCTGTCTCAATTTCTCTTTCACAGAATTTTTCAAATGACTACTAAACTGATGTAGCACAAGAAGAGAACTCTTCTTTAGTAAAGCACCTTTCCTTCTCTCCCATACTCTGTTACCGGTAATTCATAATTTCATACCAGCCTCGTGCATCCAATCCTGCATGAACAACAACACCTGGCGGTACCAGTATTTCAGAAGGTTTTGGTATTGTTTTGCTCTTGATCATTGGATAAAGTCAGCACAACACGAAAGGACAACCGTGTAGTGCATTTTTTCAAGTCCACTTGTATTTAAAGTTACAGTTTTAGCATCTTTCATGACAACAGTTCTGTTACTCGGCACATCAAATGTCAGAAGAGTTTCGTCCATATTCGCTATTTGGCTTAGTTCCACACTGGTTTTCTTTCGATGTTGAATAATAAAGCGATGGAAAGATAATATTTTCTTTTCATACTCTTTTGGCATTTTCTGAGATGTTTTGGTTCCCATGCTAAGTCCATGATGCTTCATAAACCTGTAGCACCAACCAACTCCACCCTTAAAGTCTGTTAAGTTCCACTGTAGCGCTAGCTTACAAGCGTGTACTTAATCATTTTGGTATTAATTCCAATGACATTTTGACGGTGTCCTTGAATCCCTTTCAATATGTCAACTTCTAGTTTTGGCCATTTTGCATTCATTCCTCAATTTGCACATTTAGTCTTCCTCATTTTTTTCAGTTCTTATTTACTAGCCCGCCAATTGCGAACGTTTTTTTCTGTTGGTGGAGGGCCGAAATGCCACACAGCTGCTCTGTTTCCATGTTCTGCATATGCTATTACTTTCAATTTATAGCCCTCATCATATGAATACCGATACCTTTTATTATTTTTCCATTACGAAACTAGCTAACAAAAATATTGTAGTTACCGATAACACAAATCACTTTCAATTCAAGTTCACTGGCACCATAGACTGCAATGACGCATCATAGGCTAGATTAATGTTCTGGGTTTGTGATGGCGAGCTGGGAGGGAGACAGTGTTCTGGGTTTGTGATGGCGAGGCAGGAGGGAGACAGTGTTAGCAAGCTTGTGAATCTCCTCAACTTATGTTCGTCGCTCCAGTGCACTGCTGCTGCCAGTTGAATCCAATGTTGCCAGATATATATCAAATATATGGCCATTTTTAAGACTGGCAGGAATTTTAAATTAAACACTGGACATTTTTATATTAATTTGGAGTATATTACGCACCTGAATTTTGGAGGCAAATTTTTTGAAGAAAAAAGTGTGTCTTATAGTCCGTAAAATACGGTACTATTTCCTTGATTTTACCATTTATTGTAACTCTTTTGTTTTGATTTTTGTGCAGAAAAACCATGGCCAAGCAGAAGAATACTATTTGAGAGCTTTGAAGATCAACCCAAACAATTATGTAGCAAATGAAAATCTGAAAATCCTTAGGGGAAGTAAAAACGCACAAAACATTACCGCTGCCCAATCTGCCATGAACTAATAATAACATATTTTCCTGAAGCTATAAGTTCATTTGTTAGCTGTAAAATATGTAAATTATCATTAAGTTATATTAGTGATACACTTTAAATTTTAAAAAATATAAATAAAAAAAAGTATCTGAACTCAAAAAACAAAAGCTAAGTGTCAAAGAAAAAGATGACAGTTTTTTTTCCATAAGCTTTTATCTGTTTTTAATACTTTAAAAGTATTATACAAATTACAAATACACAAATCCAATGAAGAATTTTAGAGCTGTTTTTAGAAATGTAACATTTGAAGAAAGTTCTTCTAAAATTATAGAAAATGTCAGGAATGCTCAATTGTGGAACCATGTCTTTTTCAAATATATAGATCAAAAAAGAAATGCAATCGTACTACTCATACTAAGGAATTGAAATCTTTGGCATCTTAAAAAATTAGATAGGTTATTCTGCTTTCTTAAAAATGACATCAAATGAATTTGCAAATTGTGTACTGAAGAATTAAACATTTAATCAAATTAGTGGTTAACGCTTTTTATTTCCATGCACCCTGTAAAGTTTTGTTTTAAATTATAAGTGCAATATATTGAATATAAACTGTATCTCTATCAGATGGACTATAACGTTTTTTTAAACCCTTCTGTGTGTTAATGGGAGGCTGTCAATGTTTATTTAAAATTTTGGATTTAATGATTGTCAGCTGGTAAGAAATAGATTTAGAAGAGTATGATCAAACTTGAAAAAAATTGTATTTTTTAACTGAATTTTAAGTAAATAAATTACAACACAGATGAACATATTAATTAAAATAAATTTTTGCTCAATCATATGCAAATTATGGATAATATAGCAGAGACTGTTCACATTCAAGCAGTATGAAAAATATATTGAGAACTGTTTGACAGGCCCAGTGGAAATGTAAAGACAAAAAGAGCATCTCATAATAGTGTAATTCAAACAATACATTTTGTTTGAACGGTATTCTTTATCTTGTTTTATTTGCGAGGACTACCCCAAATTTTTAAAGAAATTATTTGAAGGTCATTATTTTGGATTTTACATTTTTAGACATCAGTCGCTGATGTTGAGCAATGAGTCATACTTTTATTAATAATAAAGTCTATTATGATTGTAAAATTACTATATCTGACTGTTTCTAAACATTCTCACCTTTTAAGATTACTCCAATTTGAGAACCAGGTTCTTTACTAAAAAAGCAAAACTCAAATTTTTTTAAACTATGATTAATTATAATCTAATTAAACAACCCCTAAAACAAAGTTTTGTTTATAATAAAATGTAATAGCGAGAAATGTTGGGTGGGGCTGAAAATTTGACATAACATGCAAACAAAGTGACACTTTATAAGAATCCCAATTAGTGCTCCCCTGCACATTTTTTCCCCATCCTTGCTTTAAAGACCCAGCCGCTTTTACACTGCAGATTGATTTCATGAACAATTTTAGAAAAAACAAAAGAAAATATTATGCACCAAACGCACTTATTATATTTTTTAAAAGAATCTCATTTAGCGCAGTTATCAGGAATTTTATTTTATCTTCCCCTGGAAAAACAGATTTTTGGGGTGTGGGGGGGGGGGGGGTGCTAAAAATTTGACAGAATGTGTTGCCATCAGCAACAAGTCTATGTGCCAAGTTTCAACTTGATAGATTAATGGGAAGTGGGTCAATTAGCCATCCAAGGATTTTGCCAGCCATAAGCAAAAGAGAAGTTAACATAAATAAAGGATTTAAAAATGAAGAATGCTTTGTTGGAGCTTCTAAAGTTTGTTGCAGTATTAACCTCTCCACTTCTATAGTCACCAAATGTGCTTTTACATGATTTTTTAAAAACTGGCTGTATCTCTGATATTATGATATTAATAGTTGTTTGCATTATTTTGTTCACTACAATAAACATTATGGAGAATTTTCCATGTGTGGATAATGCCATGTAAACAATTTATAAAAGTGGCCTTTATTCTTTGCCATGTTATACAAATTTGTGTGCAAGCATATTTACCTTAAATGTAAAAATGTTGATTTGAAACAAATTGAATCTTTCTTTATTATGCATTTTATTCTATACAGTATTTTTATGCCAATGAATTGTCATAATCAAAACAATAAAATTTATATTTTTATAGACTCAGAAATATTTCCATGAATTTTAAGCAATTGTTTGTAAAAGTATGTTGGTGGGTGGGCATGGTCTGAAAGGATTGGTTTACATTTAAGAAAACTTTAACAAAGCTATATTTTTTTAAAAATACATTCAAGATGAGGTTAAATTTTGTATGCATTTCATGAACAAATTCTTCCATTCCTTTTGATTGGCTTTTTCATAGGAGGTAAGAGTGCACCATTCCCAGGCTTGTCTTATTTACTACCGGTATTATAGATAATTTGTCTCTACCACAAATAATTTGCTTGCCCTTGTTCAGTTGGTTTGTATGTCAATGCGGAAAACTTATTTGGCCACTCCTAGAAGGTAGAAATTGTTTGCATTCAAATTATCCTAGTTGCCTTAGACTTGAAATGTTCAGAATAATTCAGCAAAAGGAAATAAATATATACATAGATTGATTCCTTTAAAAGGGTTTTCAAAAGAATTAAAGTTTCTGAATTTTCTTCTAATTAAATGAACTAACTAGTAGTGCAAGTGGTCTATGGTTCAATGATTGATTGATTGCTTTGATGTTACCTTCCAAAATATAACTATTAGAATAAATCTATTTGAAAAAAATAATTTTTATTATTACAGATAATATTTATAATTTAGTAACAAGATATGACATAAGAATTCAAAATTTGTTAATAATACAATTTAAATAGATGTATCAATCTAAAGCAATTTCTTCACTATTTATAAAACAGTAAATAACATATTTGCTATACACAATGAAATGAAAAACAAACAAAGAGTTAATTGGGTAATTCCACAATCAATTAGAAATATATAATACTACGCTGCACTCTATAATCGATGGCTAATCCAATAACCATGGTGTAGTGTAGAAGGAAGAAGAGGTAACACTATGTCTAAGATTTGAAGGAAACTTAAAACTGAAGCTATTGTTCATTTTTTAGAATGGGTTCCTCAACAACCCAAAAGATATTTTTCTTAATTCTTTCGTAGCCTGTCCAAGAATTTCAATATTCAAGATCACTGTAATGGAACATTAAAAAAAAAAGGTTGAAAACTGCTATCTGATGCATCAGAATACATTTGTTTTTTATCTATTAATTTTGTATAGATACACAATAAAACTAATTTGTTGATGACAACAAACGATTGTACTCAGCAAGGAGTGGAGATTTCTTCACGGATTCCCATATTCTTGCAGCAAAGTGGTACCAGTTCTTTTCAGTCAAAGTAGTATGAGTCATGGGAGATCTGGGAGCTGATAAGATTTGTGATCTGAAATGAGTGAGGACAGTATTGAAGCTTGGGTAACCTCGATAGTCAGGTAATGTTGTTTGTAGCCACTCTGGTTCAGACTTGTAAAATTCCATTTGTGGAATTAGAAGAAGATTGACGTCACTGACAGGACAGTCATCCAGACCAGGTGGTGATGCTATTAGAGCCTCTGCTATGCTGTCATTTGACATGTTGATGCCTCCATGAATTTTGAGCTTTGATAAAAGAAACATTTTGTGAAGCACTTGCTGCATAGAGAAGTATGTCTCTGGTGTAAAATCATCTCTGGAAGCTTTATTGTGAACAAAAACAACTGTTGGATAGAAATCAATGCCGTCCTCCTTGGATGCAGCATTGTCTGATGAAGAAGTAGGTGGTTGGGTCGATGGTTTTAACATCTCAGCATCTTGAATTAGCCGCAATAAATTAACATCAATAAACCAGTCATCTGCAACAAGGATAATATTGCAAACAGACAACAAGAAAGTCAAAAGCTGCATTGATTGCATTTCAATATAATTTTGCAAAGATGTGTACTCTGAAGGAAATTTTCGTTCATAGCGCAAAAGACAATCCATCATGGAAGCACTAAGCAATGGTTGGGTATCTAGAAGAATAACTCTTTCTGATGTTACAAACATGTCAATCCCTGCTGTCTGAAATAGACAGTCTTCTTTTGCTTCTTTGGTTTGTGGGAAAAAGAAATAGTTTCTATAAGCATCTTGGTGAGTATTGCCAGCTAACAATGATAGGATTGTAGATTTTCCACATCCTTGAAGGCCCACGATACCCACAACTAAAAAGTCTGCTTGTTCAAGCATTAAGTCTGCTCCACTTTCACACCACTGTAAATTTTCATCAATAAGTTTGACTTTTGCTTGTTTTTCCAAAGGAGGTGCCAATTTAGACTGTGTTTGAGCTCCCTGATCTATAACCCCACTAATCATACTTCCAACTGAGCTTACAGTGGAAGTTCTTTTAATGATGCCTGTAGATCCATCATCAGCTGAATATGTCTTATCATCGGCATTTGGCCTAGTGTCTGGGGGATCAGGTTCATTGGACTTCACAGGAGTCAAACGGCTTTTAGTGTCTGAAGACAAGACCACAACAGATGATTTATCAGAGGTCGATAAGGGCTCACCGGAGTGTTCAATATTTTGATGAAAAGAGCTGTCGGATGAATCTACATCTGCTGTTCCCGAGTTAAAGGTAGCGTTGGAAGAGTGGTCAAAAACATTAGTATTGGACGGGGTTCTTGTGGGTTTCGCCAATCCCAATATCGTAACGGGTGGTTTACTTGGAGTGGGTGAAGCATCATCACTATGTCTTCCATAGTCTGTTCTTTCTCTTCTTCTTCTACGCCTATTTCTGTCATATAAATCTGCCATAACTAAGTTATTAAATTCAGGAAATAATTGATAATAATTCTTGTTTACTTTACTTTTAAAGTGTCAACTGGTAGTAAAGTTTTGTTTTCCCCGGAATCTCTAATGCTCTTTAATTTTAGAAACATGAAAAATACGATTTAAGCTATCAATCCGACATCGCATCCGTTTCATGGATATATTTTATATTCAAGACAATTCATACAAAATAGTTTCATTACATTTAAAGCTAATTAACATATGGTGCCTATTAGTTTTGGAATAATGTTTATTAAGATAAATAAAGTGCTCCCTGTTATGAACATCGAGCTACATTGAATTTTTTGAGATCTTCGAAAACAAAGTCGAAGTTTCAATTTTAATGTATCTGTTATTCGTTATTAAATTGCATTGAAATTGTATTGTCTGCTGAAGAAGGCGTCTAGCTGAAACGTCCACTTAATTGTTTGTCTTTTATTTACAAGCCTCAACATATCTTTTCCCATTTTTTATCAACGCTAAATGTAAAAAGCTTCAAATTTACCCCGACAAATATATTTTTTACGGACTAACTTGTGCGTTCAAAAAGAAATTAGACGAAAATTTGATCGTGAGAATTGAGCACTTTTTAAAACTTTTTAATTTTTTTTAAAGTACTTTTTTTTACAGACATAAAGTTGTTTTCTTGTTTTTGTTTTTTTATTTTTAACAGACATGCCGTGTTTATGTAAAAATGTTATTGACTTTTGGTAAATACCGGCACATGGATAGTTGGTAGCCCTGATCTGTTTACAATTTCTCATCCCATACCATTTCAGACTACCATCAGATATGATGGGTGCGAATTTTTTTTGTCATCTCCATCATTAGGTCTTTTTAATTATGGTGGATCATTGAATACTGAGGGGTTGAAGAATACCTGTATTTTCTTTATGCTTGTTCAAGGGATTCTCAAAGTGTCCATTCTGGAGCCTCAGACATTTTTTTCAGCATGGTAGATTTTTAAAAATTGAGCTTAAATTAAGTGGTGTCAAAAATTTGGGACCATAACTGATTAAATTAAACAATGAGAAGTCTGAAATTGTAAGATATTTCTATGAAACCACTTCATTAGCCGTCAAGCCTTTTGGCTCTTCATCTCTTATATAAACATTTTGCTTATGGTGTGTCCTTTCGGTATTTGGTTTTCATAATCGCCCCCCACCCTCCCTCCAAACTCCACATGTTTTATTTTAATAGTACTGAGTGAAAAAATGCTGTCATGTGTGAACTCAGGTAAATTATTTTTCTTTAGGGGGAGGTGACTTTTAGGAGTCTCTTTAAGGTGTTGGACTGTCTAGAGACTCTCTAGGCCTATTTTTTTAAAGGTGTCATATATTAAAGAAAATTAGAATTTTACTCTTTTTTTTTTTTTGTAACACTTAAACCACCGGGTATTTCCTCAAAATACCAGGAACTGGTTTAAAAAAAATGCATCCAGTTGAGCCCTAGTGTTAGTATATATTTAATTTATTAAGACCGGTAAGCGGGTTATCATTAAAAGCTTACTTCCCTTTGTTGAGGTGCACATAACATGATTAATCGGCTCTTAAAAATTTATAAATACTGCTTAGTGATTTTACGATAGTATTTCTTCCCATTTAAAGTTTAGACATGTTTTAGCATCTATGCAAAGCACTTAGACATAAGTGTGATTTTTTTTTTTACCTTTCTACCGCCATACTTTGCACAAAATAGTTTCTTCTAAAAAAAATACGTATAAATGAATTTTTCTACATTTATTACAAAAAAAACCCCATCTCAACTTAGATGGTTTAATAATAATAATAATTTTATTTTTAAAAAAAAGAGTGAAGTAAACAATAAAAGATGAAACAGAAGAAGTAGAAGAATTTTTAAGATAACATCCATGCCATAAAGATTTTGGATTTATTTGTGGATGAATTTTACTGATAAATGAAAGTTTTAACTCTTAATAATTATTTTGAAAGACTGGACAAAGGAAAAAAGGATGTGACATGTTGTCTTATATTCATATTAGTATGACATATTGTAATCTTCCGAATTTGTAGAATTCAGTTAGTCTAACATAAGATAGTAAACAATGAGATAATGTTTTTTGTTTAGTTAACTGAAAGTTTGAATTTTAAAAAAAAAATTAATTAAAAATACTGGTTATCAAAAGTAATGTGAATGAGTACGGTAAATATTTTGTTGTTGTATCAAAATGTAATCCAAGCGCTTAATTTCCAGATATTTTATAAGAATCAAGGTCTGACAAATGTTTAAGTCTTTTAATTATTTCAATACCAACAAAATATCTAATTAGAGAGTACAGATCATCAAATTATAAAAACTTGACATTTAAATTTGTGGAAACAGCAATTAAATAAATAATAAAAATTAATAAATACCAATAATTAAGCAAATTGAACAAAACTGTAACATGACATTTCTTTGCACAAAACACACAGGGACATGGAAATTTTTATTTGGATTCACAATTATAAATGCTTCCAAAGCAGACTAGATGCAAACAAAAAAATCTTTTATTCTGCTTTATCCAAATCTTGTTTCAACTTGGCAAGGGCAATCAGCCGCTTGTCCCTCCACTGCCTCCGAACAGCAATGTTTTCTACAGGTCCTGCCACACGTGATATGTCCTCCTGTATGAGGTCTAGTGTAGGACCATCCATTCGCTCTGGAGGACCAAAGCTTTCTTGAATGCCCAATATCATATCTGCATAACGATCTCTATAGCTGTACATTCCTGTTATTGACAGATGAGTTCAGTAAAAAAAAAATAATTAATAATATAAAATATAAGAAACTACCCTTTTTATAGTGACAAATATCAACAAAGGGGTGTACAGTATTACAGTTTAATAACAAACTACCTTCGGCGTTAAGATATCCAGTCTCCCAGGGTCCCATGAAAGCATATCTGACACCTAATCCCTGAGACATGATGAGATCACAATCTGATGGACTCACAACTCCATCCTGAAACAAAAAAAAACACCAAACTTTCCTCTTTAATTTATTTCAAATGTTGACTATATGTTGACTATATGTTGACTATATGTTGACTATATGTTGACTATATGTTGACTATATGTTGACTATATGTTGACTATATGTTGACTATATGTTGACTATATGTTGACTATATGTTGACTATATTATACTATACAAAATGGCAAAAGAGATATTAACTTTGACAATTAACTTATTTTCATGTTTTAGAATGATTTTCTGTAATACTCACTCTAATGAGCCTATAGCACTCTCCCATTATGGCATACTGGATGCGGTTGAGGACAAATCCAGGAACTTCTTTCTTGATGAGTACAGGCACCTGACCCACCTCTTTCAGAAGAGATACAGTTCTTTCAACCACATCTGGATCTGTCCACGGCGCTGGCACTACTTCTGTGGCAGGCGCGTAGAAAGGGGGGTTGGTCTACATTAAGAAAGCATTTTAAAATAATATTGATCTTTCACTTAAAATCTAGTATATAATATAAATTAATAATTTAATAGTATTTTAGTACAGTATTTAAATACATAGTACATTTGTATTATATACATACCTTATCTGTATATACATTTCCTATATCAATATCTCTGTATATCTATATACCAAATATTCTTTATATCTATATTTACACAGTTTGCAACCATCTTCATTATTAGTGGCCTGTTTTTTACAATAGATCCAAGTTTAATTTAAGAAGTTTTATAATACTTAGAAATCCACTGATTGTCCCAACATTAGGGGTTGTCCATAAACTGACATCACAGGCAAGACTGTTCGCAGATGACACAGCAGTGTATAGGACGACCGCCAACAGATCTGACCAGGACCAGCTACAACATGATCTCAATCTGTTAGCTGAGTGGGAGATGAGCTGGGACATGGAATTTCACCCTGCCAAGTGCCAGACACTATCAATCTCTAGAAGTTGTACTCCTCTACACTACCAATACGAACTGCACGGCCATATACTTGAGCAAGTTTCCTCCGTAAAGTATCTGGGTGTTACCATTCAAAGAGAGGTCCGCTGGGACGAGCATATTAACAATGTATGTAACCAAGCAAACCAAGCCCTAGGGTTCTTAAGGCAAAATCTAAAGATTGGCAACTCCTGTGTGAAAGAAAGAGCGTGTAAAGCCTTTGTCCGTCCGGTTTTAGATTATGCATCTTCAGTCTGGGACCCATTTACCCAGAAGAGCGTTGACAGGTTGGAGGCGGTCCAGCGACGAGCAGCACGTTTTGTCCTAAACCGCTACAGGAATACCTCTAGTGTTGGCAGCATGCTAGAAACACTAGGCTGGTCACCATTGGAGAAACGACGACGACAATCCAGGCTCTCCAAGATGTACAAGATAAATAATGGGCTGGTCCACTGTTCCAGTATTAAACAGAAACTCGTCCCTCTCCCCCATAGACAGCGACAAGGCCATGACAGGCAATTCAGGCTTATACCAGCAAGAAGCCAGTATAGGAGCTGCTCATTCCTGCCCGAGACAATCAGGGACTGGAACCATCTTTCAAAAGGAACGGTTGAGGCGACAACACTAGACACATTTGTGTCTATTGCCTCAAGCCTTCAAACCCTTAATGCATGATTTCCTCATCAACACCAGTAACAGAAACATTTGCTAATCCCATCTACATGCATAGGAGCCAAAATGATCAAAAAATTGATCGTGGGCCCTTAAGATATAGAATAAGAAGTATGTCACGCTCCGGAGGGGGTAGGAGGGGGTCAAAGAAAGTGTGACAGTGTGTTACAGAAGAGGATAAAGATCTTGTGTGACATTAAAATTTTTATATTTTTTTATGATACAAATAGAATCTGATTTATTGACAGTGATATTAAAATTTCTGTTAGGATAGATGTATTCTGACAGTAGATTTCACTTTTATACATTTCATAGTTTAAAGGTGTGTGTGTTTTAGTTGAAACGTTGAGTAGTTGTTTATTATTTTAAATTTTAGTTCGAAAGTGTGAAGTAAGTCCTTAGATAAAAAAGAGGATAACAAAATTTCCATCAAATCTAGTTAGTGGCCCGTAGCTGGCTCCTAGGGTTACGCCAATGTTAAGTGTTGTATCATTAAAATTAAAGTTAAACTACGCAAAATATTGTTCTTAGTCTAAATAGTTTTCATGATAAAATTGTATTTAGTGAGTGCTCGGTACACATTACATTAAACTGACAGGATTTTGCCTGCAATATCAGAATCAGGTAAAAATTGTTTTCAATGAGCAACAACTGCAGTCCATTGATCTATAGCTGTGGTGGTGCTGGACAGCGTCAAATGCCAAGATGCCTTCAGCTGCTGAAACAGATTTATCACTTTTTGAACCTGGTGTTAGGAAAATGTTGGTGACTTTGGTCGATGAAATTTTTCCTAGAACACTATTAACATTCTTTGGCGTTTGGACGTGCGCCTTTAAATCCAGGGAGTCCTTATATGGGCAACAGAGATATAAGTTCCACTGCCACATGTCAAACATTCAGCTTCCCATTCATATGGACCTGCATGAAAACCTAAGCATTAGGTTGTCAGTGCATCTGTAAACGAACACGTTTCACCATTTTTTAAATCAAATATTTTTTTATTTAACTTGAAAAATGTATCATTTGTCATGAACTCGCAATAATGCTATGCGTTATATTTATAAAAATGGCTTCCAGAACCAGAAGTTTCAGTGGTTACCTTAGTAACCTTTACATTTGAACTAAATATTGCTGGTGTGCATATTTAGTTCATGGAACAGAATAGTATATACCACAGAAAAGTAAATAAGAAGTTATTGACAAACAAGGTAAAAACCCAGACAAAAGCCACATTTCTGGAAAGCTGTCCGGACACTGGCCTTAAAAGAGGCCATGTCCGTAGAAACCTGGGCGCATGGTAACCCTATCCCGTACTTTAGAGATGAGTGGGGGTAATATTTTTCCCCAAATAATAACACACAGTTTATGGACGGCCCCTTATGAAGCATATCCGGTAAACCTATCTGGAGATAAATATGATATTGACTAGGCCTATACATTTTCTAGTCTAGTTCTTCTTTTAGATGAATTTTTTAAATTATCAGAAACTATTTTTTTTAAATGCCAGAAACTTTACTAAACTTAATGGTATTCAAATTGATTTATTATAAATTATTTCCGAATGACAAAAAGTCAAAACTATCATCTTACGGGATGTGATATGATGAACCTGTTCTTGTTGACCAGACCTTCAGAAATGGCAGATGGTAATAGGGCGCTTGTAGATGATGACATGATTGCGTCTGGACTGATGAGCTTGTCCACTTGGGACCATACTTTACGTTTCAAGTCAAGAACCTCGGGTACACATTCCTTAAAAAATCATAACAACATAAATATATTAGATTTATAGTATGGAACATAATATGTATATTAACAAAAATATCCAAATTAATTTTTTTATTTTTAAATTTTAAGTGAAACATTTAAGCTGAAATTTTTAAATAAATGGTTTATAAAAATAAAGTTTCAAAATTACAAATTACAAATGAAAGATTTAATGTACTTTAAAAAATTATTAAACAATAAATAATTTGTGTTCCTTTAAAAAAAATAGGCTACAATCCAATAAAGGTAATATTATCTTTTTAAATAACAAATAATGGCATGTGAAACCTCATTAGGTATTTGTTATGAGCCAACAATAAGTATCTGCACACTACTTTGTATCTAAATAAGGCACTTGTAGACATGACCTAACATTAAACATTGTTGCAAACCCTGTTGTAGGCTACCTGTATAAAAAATGAACCTTTGACACAATCTTCAATACTCTGAGTGGTAGAGATGCTCTCAAATTGTTGCTCCTTAGAAAGCTTTCCTCGGAGAAGGCCTTGACCTTCCAAGGCATTCAGCTGTAGCCAAATATCTTTCTTGGCAGCCTCTAGTTGTGCAGGAAGTACGTCATAGACGACCACTGTATACCCAGCACTAGCAAACAGCATGGAGAAACTTCGGCCAATCAGGCCGCTGGGGAGAAGATTTAATATGAACGAAGTTGGTCTGGGTGGAACTGGAAATGTTTGAACTATTACATACTGTTATAGCTTGTGTCTTGACCTAGCTTTTATTCACAAGCTGTAGCATTCAACCGCACCCCCCCCCCCCAACCTTTTTTTCCCTTTAATATTAACTCCTCCGATTGAATGGGTAGAGCCAATCTTTTTTTTTTTTTTACCAACCCCTGCCTTGATTTACAAAAGGTTGTTTACGTTCGAATACGGTCTAATTTGATCTAAAGAATGCTATCACGTGATATAATTTCTAAAATGTCTTTTCTGGAGATTACAAACTTTATCTCTATAATTAAGGTGGCAGCTTTCCCAGCCTGGACTCTTTTTAAAAAATGTTTCCTAGACATAGTAGGCCCATACTTACAGATTTGTACTCTTAATGTGTATTGCGTGCATGTGTGTGTGTGTGTGTGTGCGAGCGTGCATGCGTGTGTGTGTGTGTGTATTAATATTTGTATTTTTCGAGGATTGTACTTTTTCACTCGCTGTGCTGTAAATTAATATAAATTTATGTCTATTTGATTTTGTATTTTTAAATGCATTTAATTAAATGGAACATTGTTTAGTATAACTAGCTTTGGTATCGTGTTTCTTCGTAAACTTTTTTTTTCCCTTCAGCTCTTTACTACGTATCCACGAATCAAATTATAAAACATATTAAATTTTCAAAACCTTGTAACGGTGCGAACATATACGTTATTAGTTTTTTTAAAACAAAGGCCAAGAACTCACAGGGCAGTATGTATGGCAATATGTGGTGTTGTGTATCCTATAGGCCAGATGGTCTAGGGGTGATTCAAATACATTTAGTTAAATATAACATTTCATTCCTTGATTATTAACTGGCAATGTCTTAACGTCGTGGTTCATTGATTGCTAGAGATCATAGATCCGACGAAAAACTTTCATCCCTGACGCCCCCCCCCCCCCCCCCCCCCCCGTCAATATCTTTTTAAAAACATGCTGGAACTGGCTCTTTTGTCTGAAGCTTTCATTCCTTGATTATTAACTGGCAATGTCTTAACGTCGTGGTTCATTGATTGCTAGAGATCACAGATCCGACGAAAAACTTTCATCCCTGACGCCCCCCCCCCCCCGCACACACCTGTCAATATCTTTTTAAAAACATGCTGAGACTGGCTATTTTGTCTGAAGCTCTGAAATTTGATATCGAGTGTGTCTCGATTGTTCAAGCGTGTCTCAATTGTTTAAGTGTTTCTCAAATGTTCAAGTGTGTCTCGAGTGTTCAAGTGTGTCTCGATTGTTCAAATGTGTCTCGATTGTTCAAGTGTGTCTTGAGTGTGTCTCAATTGCTCAACTGTGTCTCGATTGCTCAAGTGTGTCTCGATTGCTCAAGTGTGTCTCGATTGTTCAAATGTGTCTCGATGTTCGAGTGTATCTCGATTGTTCGAGCCCGACTCGGTTGTTCGAGTGTGTTACGAATGTTTAAGTGTGTCTCGATTGTTAAAGTGTGTCTCGATTGTTCAAGTGTGTCTCGATTGTTCCAAGTTCTCATGAACTCAATGTGTCAATTGTCGAACTTAACCTTCACCACACATAGAAAAAAAACAACACTACTTCCAAGCATTTGATGGTGACTAGAGGGAGACAGATGTGAGAGAGGGAGATCTGGGAGAAGGAGGTCTGGGAGAAGGAGGTCTGGGAGAAGGAGGTCTGGGAGAAGGAGGTCTGGGAGAAGGAGGTCTGGGAGAAGGAGGTCTGAGAGAAGGAGGTCTGGGAGAAGGAGGTCTGAGAGAAGGAAGTCTGGGAGAAGAAGGAAGGGGTGATAGAAGGATTGGAGTAAGATGAGCGAAAGAAAGCGTCGAGAGTAAGGAGGGTGGTAGATGGGAGGGATGAGAGGAAACGGTGAAAGAAAGTTAGGAGTGAGGAAAAGGGAGAAAGAGAGAGTGAGAGAAAGCCAGAAGGGAAGGAGTGACAAAGAGTTAAATATGCGATCACACAGACTGATAAAACTGATAGTGAGAGGGGAAACAACAGCCTGTGATAGGGGATGGAGGGAGAGAGAGAGAGGGGGGAGAGAGAGGGGAGAGAGAGAGAGAGAGAGAGAGAGAGAGAGAGAGAGAGAGAGAGAGAGAGAGAGAGAGGGGGGGGGGAGAGAGAGAGAGGGGGAGAGAGAGAGAGTGTGTGAGAGAGTGAGAGAGAGAGGGGGGGGGGAGAGGGGGGAGAGAGAGAGAGAGAGAGAGAGAGAGATAGAGAGAGAGAGAGAGAGAGAGAGAGAGAGGGTGGAGGTAAATAGAGAAAGGGGGAGAGAAGGAGATTGTGTGAGAGAGGGCACAGAAATGTCGTAACTTAAATTGTAAGTTAAAACAAGACTAACCTGCCTATGACACCAATTCTCTGAGCGCTCATCTTGCAGTGAAAGCAACACTGCCGGCCGTGGATGGCTTACTTTACTGGATACAGTGCACTGCGCCTCATAGGTGGAGATAAGTGGGTCATCATGGAGTACATGGTTGTGTTGGCTCAACGCAGACGGCATTGATAAAAAAATAATAATTAAAAAAGCAATCTCGTATTTGAGTCTTGCATAGTTGATGTATTTACAGCACTCAGTCTGACGGCTGGTCATTGTCAGTCTGACGGCTGGTCATTGTCAGTCTGACGGCTGGTCATTGTCAGTCTGACGGCTGGTCATTGTCAGTCTGACGGCTGGTCATTGTCAGTCTGACGGCTGGTCATTTGTAACCAAGTGCAATCAAGATCATGGCGACCATTGGCGTAGCTAGAGTTGGTGCCACACGGGGCGGGTCAAGATTTTTGTCGCCCCCCCACGCAAAAAATATGCAGTTGGTCGAAAATGCCGCCCCTGTATATAAAGAAGAAAATGCCGCCCGGGGTGGACCACCCTCTTCGCCCGCCTCCTTCCCGCGCCAGTGACGGTGACCTTAGACATAATGTGACACTGGACCAAGTGACGGCGACCATTGACATAATGTGACACTGGACCAAGTGACGGCGACCATTGACATAATGTGACACTGGACCAAGTGACGGCGACCATTGACATAATGTGACACTGGACCAAGTGACGGTGACCATTGACATAATGCTACACTGGACCAGGAAGAAAACTGATCCAACCCCCTCCACAAATCTGTACACATAAATTTGAGACTGTTGCAGAAGTCTCTAATTTAATGCCGAAGATGATTCTCAATGTTGTGAAGAAACTAAGACTTACAATTCGGAGAATACGTCTACATAGGTGTTTCATTACTAACACTGACGGATCTACGAACTGCCCCAGGCGGAGGCGAATCGGTTGAAGGGTAGGGGTTGAATGTAATTAATTGACATTCACATGTCATGGCTTGCCTTAAAAGAACTCCGCATACTCAAGGCTCAAGACACTGAGATGTATATGGCTGTGTATCAGCAATAGATGTATATGGCTGTGTATCAGCAATAGATGTATATGGCTGTGTATCAGCAATAGATGTATATGGCTGTGTATCAGCAATAGATGTCTATGGCTGTGTATCAGCAATAGATGTATACGGCTGTGTATCAGCAATAGATGTATATGGCTGTGTATCAGCAATATATGTATATGGCTGTGTATCAGCAATAGATGTCTATGGCTGTGTATCAGCAATATATGTATATGGCTGTGTATCAGCAATAGATGTATATGGTTGTATATCAGCAATAGATGTCTATGGCTGTGTATCAGCAATAGATGTATACGGCTGTGTATCAGCAATAGATGTATATGGCTGTGTATCAGCAATAGATGTATATGGCTGTGTATCAGCAATAGATGTCTATGGCTGTGTATCAGCAATATATGTATATGGCTGTGTATCAGCAATATGTATATGGCTGTGTATCAGCAATAGATGTATATGGCTGTGTATCAGCAATGCCCAACCTTCTTTGCCCTACCCGGGTACTTAAAAGGTTGAATCCCCCCCTCCCCCACGTGCCCTTCCCCTAGAAATTTAAACAGATTTCCCCGAGAGTTTAAATACCCCAACCCCAAAATTAAAAAAAAAAAATCTCCAAGACCCCTTTTAAAAACCCCAACCCCCAAAATAAAAAAAAAAAATCCCCCAGACCCCCCCCCCCTTCCCCCTCCCCCCTCCATATAATTTTTACAATTTTTGGGCTCGTAAGCCCCACGGTTGGAAACACTGGTAGAGATACTGCATGCTTACATATTGTTGCCAAACCAATAACGTACATATTTATTATTGAACCTGAGACATCAGATATGTTGTAGTCAGAAACCTTCTTATAGCGGTAGTCTAAGAGAAATGGACAGCTGAAATGTCGCTATCAGAATGACCCCATAGGACCGCGACCACAGGGCAAAGAGATCACGTGACGCAGCCATTGTTCTGGGACTATGACTTAATATGTCGATAAAACTTGTTGCCTGTTTAAATAGCAGGTCAGGGCCACGCTGCAGTTAGCTGACCTCTATTCTGACCTGTAGCTTGGTTCAACATTGCCACGAAACGGTGCAACGCTCTGTCGCAAACTGGTTGCTTATCTGAATCTTATATTATGGAATTACCGTTACGAATTCATTAATGATCGCCACCGAGCAGAACAATCTGTGTGTTAGACCCCAGCAACTTGTAAGACGACCTCAGGTTGCAAGATATTTATTCATAACATTTGAGACACATGACATGACATGGCATAACATGACATGACATAACATGACATGTCTTGAGACGGACTATCCACGAATGGTTGGCAGTAAAAAATAAATTAGTTATATATTTTTTTAATTAGGTCATATAGTTAACATAGCCGGATTTACACATTTCTATGCCTTAGGCCAAAGCACACCATTCCACACCCACAACTACCTTAGTTTAAAAAAGAATAATAATAAGATGAATATGTGACGTGTTAGTTTTACCTTATTTTTCAAGAAAAGTGTTAAGTAAATCTCGTTTACGAGAGTTACCCCCCTTTAAAAACCCCGTTGATGGAAATACGTTCAACAAGGTACGGGAAAACCTGAAAAAAGAATGCAACAAAACAACGCACGTGTCGGCAAGACGCCTTCTTTAAGGAACAGTAAAAAAGAAGGGCAATAAAATATTTTTTTAAAATTAAAGCTTTGCTGAAATGTTGTTTCCAAGAGGACAGCAAGAGGAATGTAGAAGACACTCAGTAGGTAACACTCGTGTGGAGATACTGATCTTTCATCGAGCAGCTCCCCAGGCGGCAGATAGGGCGGGTACTCGGGAAATTCGGCCATCTGTGAAGAAAAGGCACCGCCCCTACAAAAAAAATGCCCGGAGTTTGTCTTCCACCTCGACAGAGTTTGTCTTCCACCTCGACAGAGTTTGTCTTCCATCTCGACAGAGTTTGTCTTCCACCTCGACAGAGTTTGTCTTCCACCTCGACAGAGTTTGTCTTCCACCTCGACAGAGTTTGTCTTCCACCTCGACAGAGTTTGTCTTCCACCTCGACAGAGTTTGTCTTCCACCTCGACAGAGTTTGTCTTCCACCTCGACAGAGTTTGTCTTCCCCCTCGACAGAGTTTGTCTTCCACCTCGACAGAGTTTGTCTTCCACCTCGACAGAGTTTGTCTTCCACCTCGAATCTTTGCTCCAAGTTGCACGAAATCATAAGAAATAAGGTTTTGTCAAAACTGTTCTTGGGGAAAAAATGCATGGTTTATAGCAATGGTTCTATGAACATCAAGTTGAGGATGACAAGATGGTCCATATTTCTTAAATATAATATTGCTTCTACTGAGACTGAGACGTTATATCTAACGTTGGTATATTTCATTGATCAATATCGTCAAGTTCTTTGATCAATCTGACGTTTCATACTTCTTATGGTAAGATTGCAGGGACAATAATCCACTATTTATTCCAACAGAAATCATCAATGTTACGAGTTATCCACAAAGTGTCGTCATCAGCAACGTAGCGAAGGTTAGTGTCACACGGGGCAGGGGAAGAGTTTTGCCCCCCCCCCCCAAGCCACTTTTTTTTTTCACGAACAAAACTCTGCATTTAGCCGAAAATACTTCCCTTCTGAATAGAAAAAATCCGCCCGGGGCGATTCACCCCCTCCGCAACCCCGTCCTCTTCATTGTCATCTGTCCAGTTCTGCCACTGGCGTAGTCATCGTAGTCATCGTAGTCAAACATATCAACAGTAAACCATTTTAAAATTCATAAAAGGACGCACCTTATGACCCGCCGACAGGGACACGCTGAAAGGGACACCCGCTGAAGGGGACACGCCGCTGAAAGGGACACGCCGCTGAAAGGGACACGCGAATGGGGCACGATATCGGGTCACTTGCCAGTGGGTTCACTTGTCATGGGCCGTGTTTCTTTCGACATTTTTCCCCGGGGAGGGGGCGCATTTCAGATATTCGGTGGGCGGGGGTGGGAGTGCCATTTGCCAGAGGGCAGTGGCCAGTGGCGTAGCTAAGGGGCGTCAGATGGGAAATACCACTCCGACCGCCAGACTAGAGGGGGCACCAAACTGGGCTTTGATGGCATTAATGGAAAACAATTAGTTTCCTGACGCCAAACACTCAAGTTACGCCCCTTCCAGTGGTGTAGTTAGGAGGAGGAGGAGGTTATTTATCCACGTATCACTTTTTCCTTGCGGCAATTTTGGACAACTTTACAAATTGCATCGTGAAAGGAAGAGCGGCAAAAATATTTTGCCCCTATGGTGACACAAATTATAGCTACGCCTCTAGAAAGTGTCTATCGTCAGCAAAATTAGAAATCATTTTCATCGGGGTGTAGGGTAGAAATCGAGGGCACCGATGAATGTTGCTTTTATTTATATAAATAAAAAGCAAGGCTAAGATCATAAAGGTAAACTCAGCCAACCAAGAGCATATCTCTCTGGTAGGATATGCACTGGAGGAAGTGGAGGCTTTCACATACTTGGGCAGCACCATTGACTTAAATGGTGGATCCGTAGCGGATGCCATGGCTAGAATTGTAAAGGCTAGGTCAGCATGTGTGCTATTAAAGGAACTATGGGAGTCAAAGGAGCTTACTCTTCAAACCAAAGTCAGAATTTTCAACACTTATGTCAAATGTAGCCGAAACTTGGAGAACAACAGCGAGCCTTACGCAGAAAGTACATTGCCGTAGAAAGATCCTGAACATCAAATGGCCAAACACCGTCACCAAAAATTACTTACTTGAAATGACTATACCAGGAGCCTATTGCTGAAGACATCGTAAGGAAAAGATGGAGGTGGATAGGGTACACTCTCCACAAACCCCTTTATTAAAAAAAGGGCTCATCACAAAAAAGTACTGCTAACATCATTTTATAAGTTGAGCGAATATGAACAAAAGATTCTTATAATAATGAACTTACGTTAAATAATTACCTTTGCTAAATATTTCCAAGTTTTAACATAGTTAAAAAGAAAAAAAAATGTTAAGTAGAAAAGTCTAGACTATAAATTTTCATTGACTATCAAAAATGGTCATTTCCCACTTTCCCAATATTCAGTTGATTTAATTTTTTTTTTTTTTTTTTTTTTTTTTTTTTTTTTTTTTTTTTTTTTTTTTTTTTTTTTTTTTTTTTTTTATAATTTTATTTTTTTTTTTTTTTTTTTTTTTTTTTTTTTTTTTAGAATTTCAAACTTTTATAACTTTTTTTCAGAGACAATACCAGTTGCCTTTGATATAATTTTAAACATTTTTTCCCCCAAATCCACAGAATTAATTTTAATTAGGAATTAGGAATTTAAATTATTTTAATTAGAATAAGAATTTATTCTAAAACAAGTACCAAAAAAAAATAATTATAGAATTGGCATGACAATCGAAATGCTTGTTCATCTTCTTTTTTTAGCTTTCTGATAGATTCTCATCTTGCAAAAAAATATGATTTTTAAAACAATCCTTACAAACAGATGGGACAGTTTGTTTATTATCTTATTCTAATATTAAAAAGACAAAAGCTGATGGAAATTTAAATAAATATAGTTTTACAATTTTTAGATCTCTGCTATTCAGGAAACTTTGTTAAAGGCGTAGCACATATAAAGAAAACACAGACGCTTTCGATATAATAATTGATGAAATGTGAACTATTTCTACGCGCCCGTCAAATATCTCTCAATTTTGTAAGCTTCAGTTTTATATAACTCAAGATTCATGGAATCGAGTACATGTATAATTATGCTCATAAAAATATTTTTTAAAGCCTAAAATCATAATAGAATTTATAATTAACACGTACCTCTACTTTAAAAGAAATGCTTTTATAATGAAATGTAATTTGAAAACAGATTGTGTATGTTTGATACTTGGCAATGTCTATTATTAGAATTGTAGGCCTAATCCTTGACCTTGGTGTAAAGGTCTTTTAATGCAGTGTTATTTAAGTCTTTAAATTTGTGAATTTGCAAAAAATAAATGAATAAAAATATCGATATGTGCGAACAACACGAAGGAGGGCTTATAATCAGGAGCGGCCAGTACGATATTCAAAATCGAATGCTGTCAGCCTTTACCTTTAACAAGATTAGATTTAAATATACGGATCATCAAATATATCGAGCGTAACAATATTTAAATAGATTCTATTAATTGAAATCGGATGAAGGTACACGATTCTATAATTTTTAAAACTGTTGAAAATAGCAATTTAGTCATTTTTAATATTAAAAACAATATAAACGTTCTATTGTTTTTACACATTTTGCTCCGGGGAGGGGGGGATCTTGCTTTCCCCGGGGTGGGGGCAGTGCACCCGGAGAGATGTCTGAAAGAAACCCTGGTCGTGGGTTCACTTGTCAGGGCATACAAATTATTAAAAAATTGGCCAAATTCTATAAATCCTATTTTTAACAATTAACACTCTTTGCAAATAAATATGAAGAGGAAAAGAATAAGAATATCGGAGTTCCACAAAACAAACCGACCCAAAGCTGTAGTCATAACCAGGTCAAAGGACAGCTACAATTCCACAATCATCTCTTCCGCTGCTCTCCCAACCGACCCAAAGCTGTAGTCATAACCAGGTCAAAGGACAGCTACAATGCCACAATCATCTCTTCCACTGCTCTCCCATCCGACCCAAGGCTGTAGTCATAACCAGGTCAAAGGACAGCTACAATTCCACAATCATCTCTTCCGCTGCTCTCCCATCCGACCAAAGGCTGTAGTAATAACCAGGTCAAAGGACAGCTACAATGCCACAATCATCTCTTCCCATGCTCTCCCATTAAGCACAGGACGATGATTTACTAAATCCGGGTACGTGCCAGCCACAATCAATGCATTCCTGCATTTTGGAATTTATCAAAAACATTGGCTCGCATCTCTTCCGTTGCTCATTGATTAATTGTAGAATGATCAAGAACGTAGGTGAAGTATTGAGTTCCACTCCCTCCCTCGATTTCTCTGTTTCCACTCGAAGTCACTGTCAATACCCGGTATAAGAATACATATACATATTTATATACACGCATAATGTCTATATGCTTAATCATTAATTGATGATTTGGGGAGTGGAAAAAAAAAAGGGGGGGGGGTTGCAGCTTTTCCTTGGCACGGCTCTGCCTACAAGTAAAATACTTTCATTGATTCATAGTCCCCAACAAAGAGTTTCTGCATTGCATGCCAGGGAAACTAAAACTAAAAAAAAATTAAGGTTAACCTAAATTTGTGTTACAAATAACTTAACAGTAGAGTTCGGTTATATGAGAGGTGTCTATAAATGTGTTTTGTGTATTGAGCATTCCAGTTTGAGATGAACTGGCTAAATAGCTATAATTACCAATGATTAGTCGTAAATTTGTATGAACAGTAATCTGGGCGGACCCAGTTCACAGTACGAAGATAAATATTTGTATGTATGTAACACCAGGCAACGTGAAATGGTTTATAATTAGAGAGTAATTATAAATAAGTGAACGCTTTTTAATGATGTTTTATGACTTATATTTGATGAGCGATTATTTAAATAGACAATTAAGTTTTAAACTTGTTCGGGCTCGGTTAGTTTGCACTAAAAACTGGATCGATACAAATAATTAGCCTACATTATTGATGGCGTCATTAGAAAAAACGTTTAGGTTTTGGTTAATTTCCACTTTTAATACATTTCTGAGCATTATATCAGAGGCCTATAAATAGAACATCATAAAAATGTGCATTTTTTAATCATCTCATGCATGAGAACTTTCGCAGATCTATCCACATATAGGCTTTATTATAGCACAAACGCTGCACACATTTATCACTTTTTACGTGAGCTTCATACTGCATAGTAAATATATTTTAAAAATTGCGTTGAATTTAAAATGACCTCCAATGACACAACTGAAGATGACTACAGGAATTTTTTTGGGTACGTAGACGATTACACAACACAGCTATTTGTGACCATCAACAATTGCATCATCAGCGAAATCATTGGACTTGCTGGAGTCATCAGCAACATCATTAATGTGATTGTATTCTACAAACAAGGCTTTCAGGATACGGTCAACATCAGCTTGTTTGGTCTCAGTGTCTCTGACCTGGGCAGTTTGCTGACTCTCCAATGGGAAAACATTTGCTTTAACCCTCTGTTCCAACAGCTGGACCTTCCGTTTGACCCATCAGAAATCGAACACGTCACAGCGGGGTGGCCGCACGTCTGCTTCGCTCGTATTACCAGCATGATTACAGCTTACATCACGTTTGAACGATGTCTGTGTGTGGCCATGCCCCTGAAGGTTAAGATCATACTTACTCCAAAGAGAACCAGCTTTATCATTGTTGGCATCTTCCTCGTCATGTTCGCCAGCACCAGTCCCATCTTCACAGTCTACTGGCTCCAGGAAAAGTTTAACAGCGTAAGGAATCGAACCCTCATTAGTATCGTCTACGCTCCAAATAGAGAAGTAGTTGAACGTATAACACTGGCTACAAACAACGTATTGAGTTATATTTCATTTTTTAGTGTATCCATTTTTACCGCGGTCCTCGTAACTAACCTAAACAGAAAAACAAAATGGCGTCAAAACTCGGCCGTGACAGACAGGACGTCGGTAGCCTCGACTCGAGACAACCGAGTTGTCAAGATGGTCATCTCTATCTCCGTTGTCTTTATCGTCTGCTTCGCTCCAAATACAATGATGTTTCTTGGCACCATGATTAGCCCAGAGTTTGGCACAGCCGGGCATCTTCGAAATTTGAACTACATCCTGGTTCTTTTCGGCTTTTCAATGGAGGCCATAAATTCTAGCACAAGTATTTTGATTTATTTAAAGATGAGCTCAAAATACAAGCAAGCTTTTGATGAAATTTTCCTATGCTTTAAGAGTACAAAAAGTAAATATAAAAAATAAATAAACAAACCTCATTAGTTTAAAAATCCAACACTCAGAAATAAAAAAAGTAACACAATCATAATTTTTTTTTTTTTTTTACATCTGTAAAGTAAAATATGTCAAGTTTTTTTAAAAAAACGAAAAAAAAAAAAAAACAACAACAAAAAGACAACACAAAAACATTGTATTTTCATGTCTATGTAGAGTTCCCATTCCATGAAAGCAGTTAAAGTGTATAAATAATTGCCCACCTTTCATCTTGAATAATACAGCTAGTTGGTACCGGTAATACTTTTTGGCCCTGGGCATTAAAATTCTTTGTGACCACAAGGATACGGTTCGGACTTTCGGGCGTGCTTTAAATACTTCGATGCCTGGCCTGCCCTCTGACGTGGCAGTGAAGTAGCTGGTCTTTCTGTATGGAGCATCGGTAGACAGCCGAACGGCAATGTGTAAATCTATCTTTAGATCGCTGGAAGATTGGCGTGAATTCCAGAATCTGACGTCCATGATGATGAGCTGTGCCTTAGTCCGTCACGTTTCCCAAGAAAAGTTCATGTTCAGGATTAAATGTCGTTAGAAAAGACTTTTATTTTATTTGACATGTCAGCATTGAATGAATTACCAGACATGAAGAGTTGAAGTAGAAATTCAAATCAGTAGTTTACAAAATATTGTCATAATGTATTAAAAATTCAATTGAATTAAACACGTTTTGAAAGGTTTCTAATTCTGTTCACTTTAAATTATTTTATACGTCATAGTCTTTGCCTATCTGATAAACCGGCATTTCTCTTCGGAAAAGATTGAAGTTAGAAAGATCTAATAAAATATTTTCTTTGCACGTATTTATTACGTCTCGTTTTCTTTCTGGAAGGTGTTCATTTTAAAATTAAAAAAATATTTAGATGCAGGAAATTTCGCCTCTCGCCTTACCAGCCTGACCCGTAGTTGTGAAAATAAAACATTAATTTGAATAATAGTTCAACTAAACATTATTTTAATGAATAGTTCAACTAAACATTTTACTCGATTTAGTTCTGCAAAAATACAAATAATTTAATTCGGATCCTGCTGAGCCGTTTCCAGGAAAGTTAAGTAGAATGTTGCTCTATACTCTGTGCTCTCGTTAGGCAGTGGTACATTGACACCAGTTGTGTCAGGACACTATGCTCTCGGAAGGCAATGGTATAGTGACACCAGCTGTATCAGTATTTTGTGCTCCCGGGAGGCAGTGATATATTGACACCAGTTTTGCCAGTGCTCTAGGCACCAATTGTTCTCGTCTCTACAAGTCGTTATGACCAAGAACAATATGTATCAACGTTATAAAAGTTCTATTAGCATTTCCATTTTAATGTATCCTTGAACATGTATTCACAGTAAACTAATAGTAAAATCTCTCATTATTAATTCAGTAGGTCATACGCTCCCTTGGATATCTACAAATGCCAAGAGCCAAGATAACCGCAAGATAACCACAAGATAACCACAAGCACCAGACGTTGTCATACTTCACGTGTAGAGCAGCGCGCAGCAGGACTCGAGTTTCTGGTTTCCTCCACTTTCTTTTACAACCTCGACTTAGAAATCGACGTGCTAATTTTATTATATTTTTTTTGCAATACAACGCTAAATGTTTTGTAACTCAACAGGGTATTCACGTGAGGCCGATTATCCTACTGTCAAATATATTGGTACTGAAACCGCTGGTGGTATCGCGTCCTGTGAGCTTTAGTTTACTCGACCATGAAATAATCGATGAAATAATTTTGTGTGGAAACACAGATTGACTTAATGGGAGCTCATTTGGTTTGGAATGATAACTTCTGATGTAAATGAAATGAGAAACACAACACTATAAAAAAATTACTTAAAACAGATCAGTAATCGATGCTAGTATTTTAATTTTGTGTTTGATGCCAGAGGCTTGACTTGAGATTGATTCCAAACGATGTCAAATAGTGAAGCCTGGGTTAATTGATAAACATGTTTATGTTTAGTTCGGTAAAAGAAATATTAATTGATTTTGTCAATAAAAGAAGCGCATCTCTTCTTACCATTCTTAAAAATATCATGCCAAAAATACATGTATACATAATACATTTAATTTCATTTACATTCCAAGTGTTCGATCAAACATAACCGAACTCTTCGCATCGATATGAAATCGGATGATAGGATATTGCATTTTTTTTTTTTTAAATTTGAGTCCAGGCACAACAAATTTGAGACCTTATGTTTAACAACAACTTTACTTTGTATGATATTTAGTAGGCTGTGCCATTATTCCACCAGTAAAGGAAAGAGGTAATGACAATAAATATGACAATGTCAAGAAGAGCATTAAAACCGGCTCAAAATGAAACACAATTCAAATCGCAAGTGCCCCTATCTAAATACAGAAAAGCAAATTTTTGGTTTAAAGGGTCGTCCATAAATTATTTCAACAAAATAGGGAGAGGGCGGGGGGAATGTTTGACAATTGTTAACAAGGGGAAGGCGGTTTAGATTAGTTCACTTCAACAATCATGTTTTCTCTATTTAAATTTGTATCCTAAAAATTGACTGATTATTTTAATGAGTGTAAATTAAAATAGTTACATCATTTTAGTTATATACCATTTTAAGTTGTTGATTTACAATCTAAAGATGCAATAAAATGTTTTTCCTATAATTTTTTTGTTATTAAAAAAGATCTGAAAAAAAATGCATTTATATATATTTATTAATATATATTATAATTCATTTTTAAGGTGTGTGCGTGTGGGGGGATTTAGAGAAGAAATGTTGACATAACTACTTAAGGGAGGGGGGAGGGTCATTGACAGTATGACAGTTGTTGACAAGGGACGGGTTCAAAAATTGCTTCAAAATTGTTGACGTCATTAATGGACGCCACCTAAAACTCAAGTGTTGAAAGACGTTTATTTTCCTCAATGTCGTCTACATGGGGCTACGTTCAAAGACGTCGTCTACATGGGGCTACGTTCAAAGACGTTTCCGCCTACTTTTACCACTTTGGGTTGGTTCCAAAATCATGTTTGTTGTCTCTAAACTCGATTTCAGTAAGGGTTCGTTCGCAAATTACGTCACGCTCAGAAAAAAGGGGTGGGGGTGGGGGGGGTCGAGAATGTGCGACACTTTGTGACAAGGGGGGGGGGCAAAAGGTGGTTTCTTTTTTAAATTTTAACATTTTTTATTTTGAAAAAATATTTTCAGTAAGGGTTCGTTCGCAAATTACGTCACGCTCAGAAAAAAGGGGTGGGGGTGGGGGGGGTCGAGAATGTGCGACACTTTGTGACAAGGGGGGGGGGTCAAAAGTTGTTTTCTTTTTAAACTCTAACATTTTCTAATTTGAAAAAATATTTATTTAATTAATTTTAGAAACATTAAGTTGAGGTCGAAATTGCCTCAGGTATTATAGGTACTATGAAACTCAGTTTTCTAATAATACTACATCTTAATCCATGATGGGAAAATTTAAAGAATAAAATAAAATCTTAGTTTCGTTATGAAAATTTTATGTATGTTTTGATTTTTTTAAGATCTCACATTACTCAGCCAAACCATGACAACAACAAATGATATGAAAGCGGAAATGGTATTCACCAACCCAAAATACCCTTTTCTCCCCGAAAATAAAAGTTTTTTCGTTCGTCAATGTACCTAATACTATAATATTAGGGTCTCTCTCCCATGATCCCGCAAGAATTTAGTAGGTAAACAGAAGACATCACCGGAAGAAGATCCATCCTGGGAAAGCCGGGTGCACACTTTTAGAATACAGTTTTTTTCTCTCTTTAAAATTTAAAAAAAAAAAAAAACCAGCAAGTGACAGATTTTGACAAATTTTCCCCGGGACCTGAAAAATCTAGTAAACTGCGCTGAATTACTAAGCTCAGCAGTTCTAGTACACAGGTTCTCGAGCGTCTTCAAGTCACCAACCACCTTCATAAAGCAGCAAGGTGCCCTCACCACAATACATTGAGAAAAAAGTTAAACCTCTTTTATTTAGGGGAAATTCTTGGAAAAGAAAACATTTCAAAACGTCATTTCCCAATATTATGTTATTGACGACATATTTAATGTCATAAATTACATTGTATCTAAACTTTAAGACACCAATTAAAAAAGAAAATCATTTATAAAAGTCAATATTTCTGTAAGTCTGTTTTTTCAGCAGGCGATCCTACATAAATCCATCTGCAACCACCTTTGAGGTCACCTCCCAAGGACTGGAAATCCGTGCCCTATTACAGCGGTTCCCAACCGGGGTGGGGGTAGGGGGCACAGGTCGTTCTGCTTGGAAGTACGACAAAATTATATTGATAATGCTGAAGAAACGGGGGAAAAAGTTTTTTTTGCACCCATTCATTTCTGTATTTCAAAATTTAGAGATGAATTAACAATTTTATCCATACAATTTTTTTTTTGAATAAAATTAAAAATGAGAGCATTATATTGCTGTATTAAATTCCGATGTTGACAGTTTTATTGGTTTGTTTCCTCGTAATATGATCACATATTATGTTGCAATGTTTTTTTTATTGAGATTCGTTTCACCGGAAGCCTTTTAAAAAAATAAGCACTGCAATGAGCTTGAGGTTATATGGATCTCTATTGGAGCCTGATTAAAAAAAAAATTATAAAAGAAAACCTCGGATTCATGAAACAAACTCGAGGATCATGATGAGCTGCTCATAATTTAAAGAACCACATTGGGGCATTTGCATGATTTGTAACAAAAGAAACTGAAACAACTTTTAAAACAGAAAAATGAGAGTCTATGACGCCGATAGCTTTATCAGCTTCATTAGATTATTTAGCGAATCCATTTTGAATACTTATTTAGGGATGAGAGAGGGGTGAGAAAGGAAAAAAGGTATAATCAATTGGTACGTTAGAGAAAGAAACGTTTGGGAACCGCTGCTCTAATAACTTGATTATCCCAAGATGTTCATTTTTGAAACCAGCTTTATAATATATATGTTTCATATCTTCCAATTATCGACATA